AGTAAATAAAATTGATGTTTTTAATTTAATAAAATAATTTAATGAATTTTATTTTTATATTTTAATAATAGGAAAATCAGAGAAAAATCATATAACGATACTGTAAAAAATAATATGTATGCAATTCTAACAGCTGAATCGGAGGATACAATCAATCATTGATAATATTCAAAAAATTGATAAAAATACTGCTGGTTAGTAGCAAATTTTTTAGTTTATTTAATAAAAATTTTTTTTAAAAATTATTTATTCTTATATTTATTAAATTGGATTTCTTTTTATCGTCAAAAGTGGGTTATCGCATCACTTAATAAGTGTATGTCAAAGATTGACAATAATATTTGGTTAACATCTCCCGATAATACTAATACTGCTGAGGTTGCCCATGCCTTAAGCAACCGTCGTGGAAAAATCTCAAACTAGTAATAGCTATTTTACAGTATGTATTAATGCAATATATTAAAAAATTTTAATTTTTTATGTAAATTCTAAATTTATTAATTTATTAATATGCATAGAGGAAGAAAATTAGATAGAGAAAGATTCAATGCAATTCGTGTTCATCAAAAATACAATATACCTACTCGGGAATGGGACAAAGGTCTAATTGCTCATAACATTCTATCTAATAAACGTCAAGGTAAATTAGGATATTATGAAAATACGTAGTACTGATGTTATTTTTATGTTATATTTATATTTACATTAATAATTTAAATATTTATTATTTATACAGCTAATGCACAGGCGAAATCAATTTTTATGAAACGTAAATTACGATCTACTAGTAAGAAAGGATCTAAAAAAGGGGATGTAAATAACTCTGATACTGAAGACGAAATTCCTATTAGTCATAAACAAAGTGCAAAGAAAAAGCCTAGAAAAAGCATTGTAGTTAATTCTGATACTGAAAATGACGATAAGGAGAATGAGTTAACTTCAAGAATTAGTGAACTTGAATATAAAGAACGGGTTCTGGCTTTAAAAGAGCGCGAAATTGATCTAAGGCTAAAGTCTATTTAATGGAACTATCAAATTTTGAGAAGGAGCGTGAGTTAGAATTTGTTAAATCTTGAAAAATCAAATTTGATAAATATTCATTCGTTAAATGCTATAAACATGTGAAAGAAAATTTAATAAATAAAGCGTTTATGAAATATAAATTATAGTTACGAAAACAATCCTAAGTTAGTAATAGATTTACGCATTTATTTGCTTCACAATATGTAGATCTTAGTACTTTTTATTTTTTCTTTGTAAAAGAATTTATATATTTCAGTACGAATTTTAGCATTATATAAAAAAAAATTTTTCAATTAATTTTAAAATTTCGCATTATAATACTAAAAAGCAATTGTGTATTAAATAAAAAAATATACACTATAATAATATACACCAGTTTGAATGTTTAATATATATATAATTAATATTTGAACTGTGTGTTGTATATCATACACTATTTATTTTTACGTTATACACTACACAGTTGGTCGACCCTACACCACAAGTTTCCGTCTTACCGATATATTTGCGCCACATATTCCTGGACACCCTACACTGTATATAATACGAAATTATTGATTATCTTTCTGTTGCAAAAGGAATTTCCTCGGGTTCCTCATCATGGAGAAAGATCTGTGCATTTCGATTTGCTTTAGAATATAATATGTGTACTACTGCAAAGTAGAATCCTTCCCCACGGTTTACACATGGAAAATAAAAATCATGATTTTCAGAAATACTATCGGATGGCACAAAGTTAAGGAGAAACATAGAACATGCATTTTTCCGTCCTTTTGTGTACCCAAGTGCCTGCTTAGTTGCACTATCGATTTCATCATTAGAAACGTAATTAACCTTGCACTCAATTCCATACTCTTTACTGTCACTACACAACCAAAGATCGCATTTTTTTTCAGATCTTTTCAGAGTTCGAGTTTCACGAAAGAGGCGGAATACCGGATTAGACACAGCTGAGCGTAATAAGGCATAAAGTTCCCCTTGGACAATTGCTTCGGAGAAAGAGTGTAAATTGGCGGCCAAAGGATGAAAAATTACATCATGGTGAATGAATGTTAAAAGTCCTAAGACATCTTTCAGGAAATTTTGAGGTTCATTAATATCTGGGATTGCTCCAAGCCCCTTTCTATATAAAGGATAATAGTTGGTTGATAATAAATCAGAGATGATATTAGATGTGAACCCAAAAAGTTCACTGCCCAGATCCTTTATTATGCCAATTGCTTGTAGGTGCATGATGGCGCTTATGTCATCCCCACGGATTTCCGATGAATATAAAGTCCCCCTTCGAAGGAAGCGTTCTAAAAGATTCTTAGCATTTTCAATAAGTTTGTCATCACGATCGGAAAGGTGTTTTTCTATGTGATTAACCGCCTTAATCTGATGGTTTGTTGGATTGCGTCTAAATTCCGTGAAACGTTCATTCCACTTGTCAAATTCAAGAGATTTTTCGTTGACAGAATATTCCATGCATAACGATGCCAAAAGACCCTCTAAGCCGGCGTAACCGTTAGTGACACTATAAATATCATTTAGGACATCTTCGTTTATCCTAATATCCCTATCTTCTTGGATATCTTTGAAAAACGACATATGCTGTTCTCTAGTGAAATCAGATGCCTGTATTGTTTTAGCAGAGTTTAATGGAGATGGAATTGGTTCAGGTTCTAAAAGTTTACTAGCATGTGATAAACTTTCACTTTCGCTTTCTTCCCCAAATAAACTGTCACCACCTGATAAACTGTCAATGCTCTCCTGTGATGCTGATTCAATGACCTTTCTAATTTGTGGAACGCCGTCTTTTAGCATGGCAACAATTGAGTAAGTGCCAGTGTAAACGATAGACTTGATTCCAATCGACTTATCACTTATGAGTTTGGTAAGTTCTCTTATTTCATCAATCATGCATTCAAAATTTTTGTTTTTCTTGCTGTTATATAAGAATCGATCAAATTCATCAATCAGAATTACTATTTTCTCCTTGTATTTATTCTCAAGTGCATCACAAAAACTGGCACAGCTAGAACACTGATTCAAGGAAAGCAGTTTGCACAACCCAGACAGGAATCCATCCAATAATTTTGAAGAGTGTACATAAAAATAATTTGCTTTGGTATTACTTAAATAATGTAATACAGATGTTTTTCCCGATTGAAAATGTCGTACTAAGAATACGCACAAATTTTGTGCTATGGCATCCCCCAGGATACGGGTTGAATCCAGCTCCTCAAATGGAACACAAAAATTTTCTGATACATCCACGGGACCATCGGTCTTCACAAGTTTACGAGGTCTCATATTTTGATCAGAAATTGGCCGTTTAAGGCCTGTACGAGAAAGACGGTTTTGAGCCAGTACAAAATTAGCATTAGGCAAACCATTGGGAGACACTTACCAGTGGTGGCAGGCGGTGGCGGTTGCACGAGGATGCGGATGTTCTTCGAGCTACTATTAAAAACGTCACCAAAATCCTTAAATATAGTCAACTTTTGTCCTTCGAGCTCTTGTATAATAGTATCTTCATTATGAGATCTGCTTTCAAGTGTTCTCAGTTTAACGAATTTATCGTTTTCTGCATCGCCAGGAATATCCACCTTCCATAGTTGCAAATCGCTGGGATCATATTCTTGTTTTTCAAAATACTTCTTTTTCATCTTGTAGATTGCATCCTTGAGTTCCGCAATGCTCATTCCTGCCTCGCCTTTAACTACAATGGCGCTCTCAATTTTGGTACCCACCACAAAACAGAATGCCATGACACCGGTGGTATACCTGCAAACGCGAAAATCGAGAGTTAAAACAGGGTTTAAAACAGATTTTTCAGTAAATTCAAATAAAGACCTTGTTGGAGGACTATCTAGAGGACTATTTAACGGGCCTTTCGTTCCATTCATTTTGTATATAAATAACAGTTTTCTGTTTACATAATATCTCTGTGTGTTTCGAAGAAAAATACTATGCGTACGAAAACTTACCAAGCTCATGCATATTCTAGCTAAAAACAGGTCTCGTACGTCCTAAGCCTCAGATTGCATAATATGATCTTCATCACGTCATCACGATTGATTTTGGCATTTTGAAAAAATAAATGCGCAGTACTATTAATTTTTTCTTACTGCGCCGTTGTATTATTTTCTTCGAGCCTGAGCTCGTTTAAAAGAAACCGAAGTATCGTAGTTTGAAAGAAGCGTTGGCGAATAATTATTTAAGTGAAATATACTTCTTTTCGGTGTGAATTTACAAGAAAACGACTTCAGAACTTTCAAGTGAATGTAATTTCACGGAATACAAACAACATAAATTTCGGCGGAGCTTTACTGTACATTTTGTTTTATCGATGATTGGAGTGGGATAATGTGTATTAGTAGTTTAGGCAAGCGAAAAATGCAGGCATTAGCATAGAAACTTTATTTCACTTTGTAAAACAAGTTTATGTATTACCGAATCTTGTAATTTATTTTTTACATCAATAAATCAGTAATTCCGATCGTGACATTTTGTCACGGTTCTTTTTATCTATGCTAACGAACTTTTGATCTTTTATAAAAAATTATTATCGAACATGCAATCCATTGATTCATTGAGAGAATTAAATTCCACGCTCTTAGCTGAGATTGCCGAGCTTAGGAAGGAGAATGCTAAAATTTCTGAACTTAAAAAGGAGAATGCTGAGCTTAAGGATAAGAATGCTGAGATCCCTGATCTTAAAAGGAAGTTTGCTGAGATTGAGTCCGAGAAAGTTGAGCTTAAGGCCAGGATTGCTGAGCTTCTAAGACAGGCTGTGGAAGAGAGTAAGAGACGCGATGTTGAGAATGCCGAACTCAAGGCCAGAATCAAGGAGTTGGAGAAAGAAAGGCGGATTCTTCAGCCGAGAACGTTAGACGCGATGTTGAGTTTGCTGAGCTAAAGCGAAGTAGTGAAACTAATAGATAATAACGAGGAGACCAAACAGCAAACTCAAGATATTTCTTCCGAGAAAGTTGTTAATATACCTAGCTCCATTGTAGATCAGCACAATAATGCCAAGCAAAGTGCATTTCGGCCATCTTTACCTGTGAGTTATCAGAAGTCATTGGAGGATGAGAAGACAGATGCTTTCTTGGATGATATTGATAAGAAAAAGGTTAGTGATAAAATAAGGCAGAGGAATAGGGAGAAGGGAATTCAACATGAGTCAACTGTTCCTTCCAACTTATCACTTGTTACAGAAACTTCTTTAAGAAATGATGAAATCAAAAGTAACACAAAAACTGTTTCCTCAGGAAATAGGAGAACTTCGGAAAAATCAGAACTTTCTGAAAATTTTGTGAATACAAAATTTGACAAATATATAGAGGATAACCGCTTGGATTGTAACATATCCTTCAGAAAGGATTCATCTGGAGATAATGATTCCACTGTTTCTTCTAAGCAGAAAGTAGAATGTAACTTGATGCAATAATTATCTGTCCCATTCATTAGTATAGATATAGAAATTTCACTCACCCCGCCAGTAATCGATAAAAAGTAGCAATTTTCAGTTACAGCAGAATCTATAGTCTATATGTTTTAAAAAGCTGTTCATTCTCATTATGAGGAGATTTTACACTAGTATAGCTTTACAGAAAGTTATGACAGAAGAATTAATGAAATTTGTACTATCAACAAAATTAAAATCAATACTGCAAAACAATAAGTATATCAAGAAGTTAAAAAACTACTGTTAGATATTAGTAATGTTAGTCTACATTAGCAATTATCTAGGATAAGAAAATTATATAAACTATTTAATGTGATAGGCATGAAAAAGATTAAACAAGTTACCTATAGTACAAATGCAATCTTAAGCTTTAATAATACTCAAATCCAAAATATTATACTTGCATTCATATAAAAAGATAATATGACTAAGACTAGAGCTCTGAATCAGGTCAGGTTAACCTGTTTACCTGATCTGAACTGACCTGAAAATTCAGGTCAGATCAATAGATTTTCAGGTTGATATCAGGTCAGGTCAACAGGTCAACCTGATCCGATCTGACCTGATAAAAATTTAGATTAACCAATCATTCTTCTTAAATAATTTATTATCATTAAATTAGAAATAATAAAGTTGATTAAATAAATTAATAATTGTTTATTATATTATTATTTA